AGGTTTGCGAGTGGGTGGTGGGTGGGGTTGAATTTATGAGTAATTGGTGTTGGTTGTTTGGTGGCGGCGGGGCTGACTTGGGGTTTAGAAGGATTACGATGGTGGGGGATGGGTGGAATGGTGGTTGGCCGGTTTGGGTTGTTTTTGATGGGTTTGTAGCAGAGTTTGTGGTGGTTTTTAAGTGGGTTTTGTGCTGAATTTGTGAGTGATTTGGTGGTGGTAGGGTTGACTTTGGGGTTTAGAGGGCTTACGATGATGGTCGATGGGTGGAATGGTGATGGGTGGTGATGATGACCGTGGGGTTTTGGTCGTGATGGTGTTAAAAGGTGGTGGATGGATGGTGATGGTAATGGTGGTTAGGTGGCATTGTAATCAAAAGTCAAGGACGGTATGATAATAGCATTGTTTGTGATGGATCAGAAGTTAAAATTTATTAATAGTGGTAATTTAGGGTGATAATTTAGAATTTATGAAATCATGGGTGAAACTTGCAGATCCGCCAAACCTTGGGGATACATGTCGTTTATCTTATTCATACTAATGCAATTAAATGACGTAAAAAACCACAATAAATAACTTGTTCGTAGTCATACAAGCAGTGAAATACCACTTTATAGAAAACAAAGAAAAGAAAATGAGTTAACTTCCTATTCCCACCAAGGTTTGCCTCAATGACACTTTCTTAACCAAAAAGTTTAAAACCACCATTTTACTATCCAAAGCACAATTTCATTATTAAATTTTATTGTGAAGAATGGTAGAATGGTCAAAAGTTTGTTATAAGTAAGGGTATGATGTTCAATTACCCTAATCTACAAAACTCCCACCCCCACCACCACCCAAATCAACTCAATCTCTTAATCTTCCGCATAACCTGACCTTTGTCGGTGCCGTCCTCAGCTGATTGGGTCTGGTTTTCCATTGATTTTTTTCACCAAATAGATAGATCTCTTCATCCCTTTCATCCATTGAGCCATTCCTTAGCAAATCTGCCCAAGATTTGGCTGAAATCGAACTTTTTTCCTCAAAATCCTCCACCATGCACAATAGCTAACCTAGGCCTTATCGACCCTTTTCAGTGTTGACAACTGCTCTCGACACCACCAAAAAACTCCCCTCAATCTTTTGAACAAAACTCATTTTCCCCCTCTTTTTTCATCTCGCCAATCCGGCTACAACCCACTGTTGTGGCCACACAGTTTTTGTCGATTTCGATCGATTCCTCCACCGGAAACCACCCTCATCACCAGAAGAAGAAGAGAGAAGGGTATTTCCGTCTTCACAATGAATATCATTGTATTTAATGGAAATTGTTAATTGAATATAACGTTTGGATAGTAAAGTCGTATTTTCAAACTTTTTGAGTGAAAAAGTGTCATTAAGGCAAACCTTGGGTTGGGTGGGAAAAAGTGGTTTACTCAAAAGAAAATTGTGAAACCTTTTAAGCTTAAAACCATATTGGCACAGAACCACCTCAATATTAATTACATTGGGGGGACAACAACATTTCCCCACCCAAGGTTTGGCGAAACGATCTTTCCCACCCATCAAGTTTCAAAATGACGCTTTCCCATCCTTTGTTATGTTCTGTTATGCTTTCCGTTAATATTTTACTGAAAAGACGAAAATATCCTTAAATATTTTACTTTATAAATTTTTTATTATTTTTTAATTAGCCAAAAAGTCAAATATTAAAAATTCAAAAAAGAAAAAATAGTTAATCTCACCTAAAAAATTAGGAATAATGCTATAAAATTGTATAAAGTTAAATAATCTTAATATTTATTTATAATGTCATCAATATCACATCACTATTATTTATTTATTTATAATGTTTTTCATTTTTGCTAATTAACATAAAAAAATCAATATTCCTAATTCATTAAATAAACAAAGAAAAAAAATGTATTTTTATACTTGGATTAATAAATAATCGAATAAAAACTTTGAATTAACTAAATTTTAATTTATAATAAACTAATTAAGAAATAAAATATTTAAGGATATTTTCGTCTTTTCAATCAAATATTAACAGAAAATATTAATAGAACCTAATGAAGGGTGAAAAAATATCATTTTGAAACTTGACGAGTGAAAAAATGTTGTTTCATCAAACCTTGGGTGGGAACATGTCGTTGTCTCTTACACTGGGCTACCGTTCTTCTAGAACAAGATTTGTATAATAGTTTTGTGATATTTATATCATGTGTGTTAAATGTGCAGGATTAGATATCTCGATTGAGACCTTTGCAAATCACGATTCACGTGTTTTCAATTTAGATTACCTTGTTTGAGTTACAAACACGCTATCACATGTGATTTATAGTTCAATAATCTTTTTTCTTTTTTCATTTTTAATAAACAATTATTAATTTAATACATGTCTAGATGGAATAAATGAAGAAAGGCTTTTAATTCAATTCATTTGACAGTAACTTATATGTTCGGGTAATTCTGATCACATTGTGTTAAGACTAATATAAGCTAAATCATCAATTTACACATAGACTTTGACATATTTTTTTTTTTTTCTAAAAAGAATTCTTTTTGATGCTCCTTGAAGTAAGGTTTACTTCGAATTACAAATTAAGGAAATAATGCAAATCTTTCTCCTTCTTCTTACTCCATTCTCTCACTCCTTTACGTGGCAGCCGAACGACCCTTATGTGGCAGCCGACGTGATAGATGCCACCTCACAAGGCTGCCATGTCACCCTCCAATGATTCATGCTACCATTCGTTATTAACTAGGTTATAGGATTGAATTACACTGTTATAATACAAAATTTTAACACATATTCTTAGTCTATGATTTAATGTAATCCAATAAATTTCGATAAGAGGTTATAAGAGTTAGTTATTTTTAATGTTAATTAAGTATTTTTTGAGTTATTGAAATACCATGAATCAATATAAATGAGGTTATATTATAGTTTTTTAAATTGTAGAATATTTTGTCCATAGAAGTGTTATAAATCAGGGAAATGTTATAAATATTAAGATACTATTGCTTGATAATGTTATAAATCTTTAAATTAGATTTCGATTCATCTGGTAGCGAAATTCAGTAAGATATTGCTGGAATATCAATTTCAAAATATAAGCTGTTGTCCATAACTCCATATTCTATTTGGCTTATAATATACCCTTAGTATGATGATCAATTATTGGAATTATAAATCATTATTAAAAGTTTCATAAGTGCATGTTGTTTGGTCTGATGTGGCCAATGCAAATCCATCTCAATCTCCCCATCCCTATTATAGTATATCTAACAAATTATTTTATACAATTAACAGTGTAAAGGAACAAGGGATAGAGCTCACAATTAATACTTGTTTTATAGACAAATTAATTAAATAATAAGATGAGTTCAATTCTTTTCTAAACAATGAAAGGAACAGCCATCAATGTCCCAACAACTATACAACGGCGCAATGTTTGTAGTCACAACGTGTACCACATAATACTGCCTTCTCGTGAAAACGCAATTATGTGTTGGTGACAAATAAGCCAGGTTTTATTATTGAGATGGTGAGTTAATGGAGCACATCTCCATCTGATTCTCTTTTGGGGGACACCATAGATAGGACTCACTAACGCATTATTAGTATCCTATTAATTTTAACAACAAAATGGAAACTTCTCGAAAGCATTTAATGAAAATTATTCACAGTTAAAAGCACTCTACTTTATTACCATTCTTATTTCATACATGTGATTACACATATGCATATGATTAACATGGTATGTACACACTGGTTTGGCGAATCAGCAAGTTCTTACCTATGGTTTATAAAATCCAGATTCCCACTCTTAAATTAATAGAAATAGAAAATTGTTTAATTTAATGATTAAAGGGTAAAATGGTCAACACACAGACAACCCACCCCCCCCCCCCCCCCCTCTCTCCCTCTCTCTCTCTCCCTCCTTTCAGTCCTTCCTTTCTCTCTCGGATTTTAGTCGGATTTTGCACCAAAATTGGTAGGAATCATCTTCTCATCACCGATTGCACCTTTCCCATGCCTGATTGGTTCGTTTTCGGACTGATCTTGCACCGTTTTTGCATTGTTTGTGCGACCCTCAGCCTTGCTCGACCGACTGTTCTCAGGCTCGATCTAGACGATTTTTAGCATCGATTAAACCACCTAAATCCATCATCATCTTCCTCTCACCATCCTCTTCAAAACCCCCACCAGCTCTGCCACCAACATTTGTTGTTTCCACCTTTCCTGATTGCATCTCTCCATTGCAACACACGACTGAGTTTGTTGCTTTTACGTTGAATTCGCCATCCACCACCAACATCAAGCTCCTCTCTTCTCCCTTGACACACCAGTTACCATCTCAAGTCGCACTGGTTGTCGTTTCCTACTCATGATCGTGGTTCATTTTTCAGGTTTGCGAGTGGGTGGTGGGTTTGTGGTTGAATTTATGAGTAATTTGGTGTTGGTTGTTTGGTGGCGGCGGGGCTGACTTTGGGGTTTAGAAGGATTACGATGGTGGTGGATGGGTGGAATGGTGGTTGGCTCGGTTTGTGGTTGTTTTTTGATGGGTTTGTAGCAGAGTTTGTGGTGGTTTTTAAGTGGGTTTGTGGCTGAATTTGTGAGTGATTTGGTGGTGGTAGGGTTGACTTTGGGGTTTAGAGGGCTTACGATGATGGTCGATGGGTGGAATGGTGATGGGTGGTGATGATGACCGTGGGGTTTTGGTCGTGATGGTGTTAAAAGGTGGTGGATGGATGGTGATGGTAATGGTGGTTAGGTGGCATTGTAATCAAAAGTCAAGGACGGTATGATAATAGCATTGTTTGTGAATGGATCAGAAGTTAAAATTTATTAATAGTGTTAATTTAAGGGTGATAATTTAGAATTTATGAAATCATGGGTGAAACTTGCAGATCCGCCAAACCTTGGGTGGATACATGTCGTTTACTCTTATTTATTCTATTAATTGTAAGTTTGTAACAACCAACAACAAAATGGAAACTTCTGGAAAGCATTTGATGAAAATTATTCACAGTTAAAAGCACTATACTTTATTACAATTCATATTCATACACTTATGCACATATGTACACCGTGGGGCCCTATTTGAAACCAACTGATCATCATGCTCCAACAGTTGTCGTGTTGAGAATCGATTCTAGTTCACTCCTGGTACGGCCGATCCTTCCATCAACACCGTCCGATTGACTGATCCATATTTCTGGAATGACTTGAGGTAGGTTGTTGACGTTCTCTATTACATAATCTGATTCTTTGATCTTCACTGTCTTTCCAACCTTCAATTTCAAAAAAAATAAAACAAACAAATAAATAAAAACATAAATTGTGTTGTTGTGTATATACGTTGCGGCAATTTTAAGATAAAACATGAAATTACCAAAACGGTGCATAGCCCCAGAGCTTTGCCAGCAGCGATATTTTTAACATTGTCGTCGAGAAACAGCTGCCAAGACGAGACGAAATGTGTTTCAGTATGTGCCAACCGGAATCTTTCAAAATAAAATTAATAATCGAAAAATTGACGAGATCTTACTGTACGGCGAGGATCAAGACGAGCAACATCCAGAGCAATTTTCATGGCGTCCATTGATGGCTTCAAAACGACAGGGAATTCATCAGGACGAGTTGCTTTCGAGAGATTTGGATTCATCGTCTCGAAGCAGATTATTTGATCGAAACAGTCTTCTAATGCTAACCTCTTCAGGCATTTCATTGCGTGGTTCCTGTCCGAGTTCGTGAAAATCTGGAAATTCAAAAATTAATTAATTTCTTCATTAAATAAAGTTATGACGATTTGATTAACAATTTTTTTTTTCCAATTTCATTTATCCACTTACGATCTTTCTTAGGGGGATGCTACGTAAGATGTTGCGTAGTTGAATATCAGGTTTAATCAAATCATACGGCAATCTTCCGTGCACGAAACTGTTGATCAAATTATTGTATATAAGAAGAAAAATTAAATAAAATGTAGTTAATATTTTAATATTTGTCTTTTTAAATTTAATAAAAAATTTGGCTAACCTGTGATAATCATCAGCATCAATATCATAGCCTAATACCTGGAACAATTTAAGAGAACTAATCAGGAGAAAATATTAAAATTGATGTGAAGAAAATTGGCTCATTTAATTCATTTGGAAGTTATTGAGAGCACAAGAAGAGTAAATTACTCGCAAACCGGCTAGAGTGCTGCCGTAAGTTTTGAAAAGTTCAACTCTGAGAGTCGACGCTTTACTTTCTGGGAACCCGCATTTCTCAACGAGAAATTCTGAAAAAAGTAAAGAAAAATAATCAGTGATTTAAAAATTTAACTGAAGCTTGAAACTGACATCAATTTGTTCATAATTAATGCCTCACCTTCAATGTTTTTCTTGACACCTTCAGCTATTCCAACTTTTGAAGAGTACAAAGTGTCATCCAAATCTGGTTCAAAAGAAACTCCAAACAAGTTATTACGACCATTCATTTCAGGCAAAAACTAAAGGCATTCAGAGGTGAAACAGAGAATTATATACCAAACATGACGCAGTTGAAGGCAGAATCCATGGCTGAAGAAACAAGAAGAGAAAGCAAATGAAGTGAAATTCGCAATACAGAGAGCGATGAAATGAATGAGATAATTCAATTACAAGCAACGAGGGCTTTGACAAGGAGGTGAAGAGAGGTTTTTATAGGCTTAGAGGCTGAAGAAAAAACAGAGCAGAGAACGATTGTGCTGACTCATAGTTCAAATCTCTTGCAACAAAAGCCGAGTAGAAAAGGGCCCACACGCCTGTCGAATATTATATATAAATTTCAGGAAAATTGACGTAATTGCCCTTTCCTAATTTTCTAAAGAAGATACTAACACTACCCATATGTATTTAGCCCTGTGACCGCTTGTCCACCGTCCAATCAGGTTATAGCTTTTGAATGACAGATAAGGGTAGTCAATCATAACGTGGCCAGATTCTGAGATATTTAAATATTAAAGCATAGTAAATGGAGGGCATCCATGTAATTTGAGCGTTGTACAAATTGGAAACGTGGATTGCGTTGTAAAATCGATCTACTCTTCTTAAATTTTATTGAGTTGTAATTGCCTTATGTTGACCCTGAAGTAAAGTCTTTAAATATCTTCCGAAAATAACTTTACTAAACGCGTTAGTTAAGACGTTAATAAATTCTTAAAAGTTTTTTTTATTAATGAATTCTCCCTCTTTGAATCATAGAATAAGATGATCGTGATGCTTAATTTTGACACAAACGATTACGAACGTACAAAATGTTAAGAGATTTAGAAATTACACAGAAGAAAGATTATAAGAGTGTTTATAATACTGTGATTAATTTACTTATTAGTTAGTGCGTAAATAACAAGTTGACAAGATCAGCTTGTAGAGTGGTTTGAATGCTATGAGCAAGTCCTACGTCCACTATATTTATATTATGCTTTGTTGTATGATCACTAATGAAGATTATAAAGAGAATGATCTTTCAAGGTTACAAGTGGTCAGGACATCCTAAGAGAATGGTAAGCCAGTATTTTGCTAATAGTGTGTCTTTGTTGATTTTTATTGTAAAATGAGTGCCTGAATTCAAGAATCGATCTCGTTATGAGGAGTGAAGTTACCTATTTATATTATTTTTAGCTTGAAATAATGAGTACTTTTACAGATTGCATTGATTTGGTGAAGCTCTTCCTTCCTTCTTATTCGTTGAAAGTTGTCATCCGTATTCTTAAATTAAATGAAATTTTGGCAGATGGCTACACAAAATATCCTTGGACTTAGGTTAAGGAATATCCAGCTATCTCTTGTTTGTCCTTGTACACGTGGTGAATCTTGAGCGGTGGAGTTGAATGTTGAATCTTGATTGATGGTGATGATGTTAGTATGCACTTTAGGCATAGCATATGCTAGTAATATATTAATCTCTTTAATATATATAATGTGTTATATTCTGTATCATAAAAAGTTGTATATAAGAATTTATAGAAAGAGTTCTTGATTCTATTATTTTGATGAGGATATTTTATCAATTAATTAATTTTAGTATTACAATAATTAGTTGGTGATTAGAAAGATTTCCAACTTGAAGAAATGGCATTGGACAATTATTTTGATATGAAAAATTGGTGACGCAAACAGATAGAATTAGACAATATTAACGGTGCAACTAAAATGATGTAATATTGATAAGGTAGGATTGTTGGACGGTGGTGGGGTCATATGGTGCAGCACACCAAAAACATACCGAAAACGACTTTGAATAGTTTTATTTTTGATGATCGAAAAATATTTGGATTAGTTTACGCGTATTTTAATTAATCTCACGAGACTCTAAAATTATTGACTAGATAAGAGCTCTAGTGCTTACTCCTATTAGTAACTGAGAGAAAATTTAAACTCAAAACTTCTTGAATAATACATTCAAAACCATTCGATTACTTAGAAATAATTAATTTTGTTAAATTATTATCCTCTGTATTGAAGTATTTGTTAATATCATGGAGAGAAATAGAGACAAAGAGAATAATTGATTGGCACGTGGGATTAAGATCGAATGTTTTGATTGATGGGTGGGCCAATTAGGGCTTTCGCCACCCATTAACTAATTGTTTGACAGCTACTGTCTGAATCATTCACTCATTTGGAAAACTTAATTTCTAATTTGTGTGGAAGCTGACATGAAATCCAATCTAACGATATGTATATTTAATTAATCATATTATATGTCTTTTTCCCTTCACTTAAATCAATCAAATTACTAGTTAATTACTTTAGGAATTAAGAACATATCGAAAGGAGCCTTAGCTTAATGTAAATGATTCCTTAACCTTCAATTTATTTTGAAGAAAGTCAGTGAGTTTTTTTATTTTTTTATTTTTAATGATGGGGTGTTCGGAATAGTTTGCGTACACCTCAACTAATCATTCACTATCGATCGGATTAAAGCTCTAATGGTCACTCTTAATAGAGAAAGTCGATGAGTTTCAATTCTTTTAATTAACTTTTTTTTTTTTTTTTTTGATAATCAGGATATTCAAGCTATAGTTTGCGCACCTTCACTAATCTTCGGAGTTCATTGAACACTTTACAAGCCTAATATTCCAATTAAGTCACAAATATGGTAAGTGATCTCAAGGTGATTTGAATCAAGAAAGTCAATAAAGAGAACAAATTTTCTAGACCACTTGGGCAACCCTTCGGGGTTCTTTAATTAACTTCTTTCTTTCTTTTTTAGCATAAAGTAAATCAATTATATCTAAAATAATTAAACAGTATATAAAGTTCTGATAGGTAGACATGGGAGTTCCAGGAGAACACAAATTTAGGATGGCATTCATATATTTAATATCATATTCCAGAGTAGCTACACAACCAAAATTAAAAAGGAAAATAGATAATTAATTAGAAGATCAGAAACCAGGATTAAAAAAGAAAAGAAAAAACAAAAAAATTGTTCCACTTTCAGTCTTATATGTCTGTGCTTGGTTTAGTAAGGGCTTCATCTTTTCTTCTAATTCGAACTCATGCTTGATTTTTGTGGGCACTTCCATGTCCATATATGAACCTTGCTGTTCCTTCTGTGTAGACATGAGTCTCATTGTCAAGTCTGCCAAACACCAATCTTCAATTAGAGAAAGATTTACAAATAGTAATTTAGCATGCAATTAAGTTTGAACAATTTAAATGGATATGGGTCTGGGCTTTACGAATTTCGAACTGCTTTGCTCAAAGTTGAAGCAGATGAAATAGTTTTGCCATCAAGGTATTTGTTTTCCCCTTTCATATTCTGTTTCATTCTCAGGTCTAGCTCTTCTGCACACAGCTCAAATGGGGAATCTGAAGCCTGTAAACATTTTGAAACAACTCTTAGTTCACCACACCACAGGGTTGGTTATAATATTTTGACATAAATGAAATTAATTACCATAACCCATCCCCAAGTATCAGCAAAGGAAGGAATATGAGCTGAATAAGGCACAGCATCTGCACATCAATTAAGCAGAAGTTTATACACTAATTCATATCTGATTATTATTGGCAACATTGAAAATACTATAAGGGTTATTACTTACACGTGAAAACATGCCTTAATGTGTTGTAAATGCAAGAGAATACTTCTGTGTGGGTAAAAATTCCAGCAGGCCCTGCCTGTGTGACAAATATTCCACCCGGATTTAGCTTAGGTTTGACAGTGGACTCATAAAAGGATTTGGTATAGAGTTTATAACATGGGCCTCCTTCTATTGGGTCTGCCAGGTCGCCTATTATCACATCATAACTTTCTTTTCTACTCTCCAGTTCAGCCCTGGAACACCACCATAAATTAATGCCATAGGCTTAATAATAACTAGTTGTGCTTGTAATTATAATTCTGCAACATTGTGGAAATATATGAATCAAACCTGGCGTCATTGATGACAAGCTCAAGTCTTGGATCAGAAAATGCTTCCCTGTTCACAACTAAGTATGACTTGCAAAATTCTACTACCTCCTGCTCCAAGGAAAATGTATTAATTATATATGAAATCTCATTCTAATGATATAGCTAACGTGATAAATGATATATATATTGGAAATTAAGCTGAGTTATTGAAGAAAATGGAATGAGAAATTAAATTACCTCATCAATGTCACACATGACAACCTTTTCCACAGTTTTATGTCTGAGTATTTCTCTTGCAGTGGAACCTTCACCTCCACCCATAATAAAGATGGTCTTTGGACTAAATTCACAATAAGGAAGCTTATTAACATAATATCCCTTGCTGAAAATTAACAAAAGGAAGATAAAAGGAAAAAAAATAAATTAATATTTACTTTGGATGATGAAGAAGTGCTGGATGAACCAAAGACTCATGGTAGATAAATTCATCTACCTCTGCACTTTGAAGCTTACCATCAATTACTAATGCCTGTAAAACAAAACACAGAAATTCTAGGTTTATTATATTTTAAAACTTTGCTTCAACATTTAGTTGTTTATTTATGCAAACCTTTCCGAACGGCTTTGTGTCCAACAGCGCGATGTCCTGGTATGGTGTCTCACCCGTATGCAATATGCTGCGACAAGAACAAATTGATTAGATGTTAAAGTTGTCGAACTAAGTAATTAATAATAAAATGAGTTATTATTATATCCTGTCGAGCTTTTCTTGGTCATGCCATTCAGCCATTGATTCTTTTTACTTAAAGAAACTTTAAAACAGTATTAATATTATAATATAATATGCAACAAACTGGACAGCTGGTACTTCATTTTGTCTCACCCAATGAAAAGTGTTGCTTCTGGAAGATTTTTCAAAGATTTTGTTCATATATCTATCTTGTCATAGAAATTTATTTACTTCAAGGTATAGTACAAGAAAAGAAGTGTGAGATGAAAGAGATGAATGATCAATAAATTTTGAGGATACATAGAATTATATTTTTGGTTAAATATTATGAACGAAGAAATAAAAATATGTATACCTATTAAGCGCAAAACTCCATCTTAAATTCTCTTCAATCTCTTCTTCATACCAGCAACTCTTTCTATAACCAGATAGTGAAAGGCTTTTCCCATCAACTCCATTCTTATCAGTAATCCCATTAGAGCAAGAGATCTCACCCATTTTCTACAGCGAAAGAAAGATTGAAATGTAGATAGAGAGAGAGAGAGTGAAAAGCTGAGGCAAGTGATGAAGAGAGGAGAAGAGTAGGTGCAGAATTTAAATGGGAAGTTGGCAGGAAATTCGAAAAAGAATCATGATGAGGTTTGGGTTTGGCAGAGTTGTGAAATCTATCGAAATTAGTGTGGTTACAGCTTAGGAGTCAAAAGAGCCAAAAATCCTTACAGATTTTCGACAAGAAAAAAAAAAAAAATATATATATATTACAAAGACAGTGTAGGATTTGAATAGATGATTTGGTCGCGTGGTTATATCAATTGTCGTCTTCTACTTCATCCTTTTATTCATAATATTATATCATGGGGTTTCTTCTCCAATTAACATACGTGATGCTCTTTGCCATGTGCATGTACAGAGAAGTATATTTACGTGTATTAATGGGTAGAGTTGAAAATATGGGGTTTGAAATTCAGTCTTGAAACTCTTCTAAGAAACCCAATTGGATTTAGACACATAGGGTTATGCATGTGAAGAACAAGTATATGGACAAAACCTTCAAAAGATGGCATGCATATGTTAATGATGATCGTAATGTATTAACTTTTGGATGAAAGGAAAAAGGAAAAAGGATGATGATTAATGGGGAGTGCCAAATTACCGAAAATTCTGGGTATTCTTTTATAATTATAATTATAATTCATTCAGGAATGTGTGCAAATCTTGGTTGGAGATATTAGAGAGCGTGCAGTGGAAACCATCATCATATTCTCTTGCTTCAAAAGAAGAAGGGCGTGCTATGCCAGGCGCACTCATCATCACCACCATCACCATCAAACCCATCATCAATCCTCTCCAAACACGAAAACAAATTAAAAAAAAAAAAATTTTAAATTTCAACCCCACCATGATAATATATAATAAAAACAAACAATAAATTAATTAACCTAGCTATATGTATTTATATCATGCCTCTTCTGCCAAGTGGCAACATATGATTCCATCTTGTGATTTTATCATGTGGGTCTGATTTGATCAATGGAATCCACAAGCATGTTTCAAGTTGTGATGTAATAGCAGCATCAGCATGATGTAATTCAATACTCTCTCTGCACTAAAGGGGCTCACTACAGAAGATATATAGTTCTCTCCAGGCAGCTGCAGGCCAACTATGAATGCAATGAATCATTTTTATACAGAGAGAGAGTTTTGGGTGTGGTGATGATGATGATGATGAAGGATTCACCCAATTATGATGGCCCTCAAGTCCTCAATTGCCTTAAGCAAGGTAGTATCAATTTGTTTCCCTCATGTTTTACCACACCTACTCTCCAAAATCCATTTCCTATATTCATTTTAACAATTTGGCAAATGGCAATGCCAGGTCGACGAACATGCTCACCACTCGCCATGTTAATTATTTGTCACTAAAAATGGTTCAGATTTTGCCCGGTAAAATTAAATAAACCTTAATTTTAAGAGTTGACGACTTTTTCCCACCCAAATAAAAGCTTAGTAACACTTTTCCATGCTCCTACTTTTAAAATATCATTTTAGTACCCAAAATACCATTTTGTTAGTAATTTTCGTTGTAAGGAAGGGTAAGATGGTCAAAAGTTCGCTATAAGTAAGGATAGAATGATCAACAAACATTTTGCACATGAAATAAAAAATTAAAATTCCAGAAGACACGAACGGCAGAGGGTGGCGATTCACGACTGACAAATGATGAGTAATCAAGTATCGAGGTTTGAGGGGTTTTGAAGAGGGAAGATTGGAGGTTGAAAGTGTGGTGGAAGATTGGATTTTGGCTACTGAAATCAAGCAGAATCGGCACAAAAAAGTGAAACCCTAGGTGGTGGAGAGCGGCGACCGGCGTGCAATTGGCATCGGAAAGGTTGGGGGTTTTGGAGATGGGGGGCCGATGAGTTGATTGGTGCTCTCAAAAGAGAATTTCGACGCCAGAATTGGTCGAAAAAGGGCAAGAATCGTGCAAACCAATTGTGTGCTTTTCTGATCGATTCCGTTATTGGAAATCGTCCCTATCACCGCTAATCGACTCCCTGGATATTCCTCTCCAAAAGCCCCGACATTCGCGATCCCATTTGCTCACAAATCGGCAACAATTGAAACTTCCCGACCCTAGGGTTTTTCGAGTTTTGATCGATTAATTGGGTTTGATTAAATTCATTTAGTTTTTGCGTTTGTTGGGTTGAAAGATGATTGAGGAATGTTTATTTGCAGTATTTGTGATTTGTTTGTTGATTTTTTGGTCATCGACACTCTCCAACACCGATAGCAATTGCCAATAATGGAAGCGGCTAAGAAGAGAAGAAAAAAACGCCTTTTTTTTTTCTTCATAAATTACTATATTTCCCACCCAAACCATAGAGAAACATAATATTTAGGTAATAAAAGGGTATTTTAAAAGTCTGTGGGAAAGTGTCATTAAACTTTTTTTCTGGGTGGGAAAAAGTCGTTAACTCTAATTTTAATCCTAGCTAGAAGATGATGTTGATGCACCAAATTAGTCATCGATATGTACATGATAACATGACTGATCCATCAATTTTTCTCCTCAGAACTGGTTATCTGTCGTCGTTGATTTTAATAAATATCTTAAGCTTTTTACCAAATTTAATTAAAGATACTAAAAAATTCTCTCTCCATTTTCTTGTTCTAATTTATTATTACTGTTAATTGTATAAGTTGTAAAGTTAATTGTGGCTAGTTTGTATAGATAAGTAGTTTGGTTAGTTGGGTAGTTAGCTGATTAGTTGACTTTATTGTAACTAGAGTTATTTGTTAACTCAAGCAAGTTGTATGGTTAATGATTGTAGTGTATAAGCAGTCAAGCGTAATAAGAAAAGTAGAACATAATTTTCCCCAATTTCTTTCTTCTTTATTGCTCTCAATTTCTTCAACATGGTATCAGAGCACAAATCTTCAGCATTTCGATATGAAATCAGATCAATCAAATACTTAATTCTGTTCTAGTAAAGCTCAAAGGAGCTCAAAATCTACTCCATTTCATTGTAGTGAAACTTATCAAAGATCGAATTTCAACAATTTTTGGCTCTTTAAAGCTTGAATTTTTGCATTTTTTTAGCTCTTTAAAGCTCGAATTTCTGCATCTTTCAACTCAAGATTCTTGAAGATACTAATCAATTGTTATGACAACATCAAATGAAGAATCAATTGTTCCTGTAGTTGACTCGAACCCGCCTTTCTATGTTCATTCTTCGGACATGCCAGGGTCTGTACTTGTATCTGAGCAGCTCATAGGCACCGAAAACTATGGAATCTGGAGTAGAGCAATGACGGTTTCTTTATGAGCAAAGAATAAGCTAGGTTTTGCTGATGGAACCTGTACAAAGTCTTCAGTGCACTCACGCTTGGTTTCACAGTGGGAGAGATGCAATTCTTTAGTCCTTGCTTGGATCTTCAATTCAGTTTCTAAAGAAATCTTCAACAACATTGTTTATTCGACAATTGCTTCCCAAGTATGGCAAGATTTGAAAGAACAGTACCGCAAGGTTAACGGCACCATAGTTTTTGGCATTCATCGCGAAATTGTGAATCTGACACAAGGAACAAGCACAGTGGTGATCTATTACAATAAGCTCAAATCACTTTGGGATGAGCTAGATTCCTTGGTCAGCATACCTGCTCTTGATAGCATCTCTGCAAAAGCGTATCTTGAACATCTCAATCAACAAAAATTACTGCAATTCTTGATGGGATTAAATGAGTCATATTCGATGGTACGTAGTCAGATTTTGCTAATGAATCCTCTGCCAACTGTAAAACAAGCATATTCGGTAGTGAATCAGGATGAAAGCCAAAGGGTTTTGACTGGAATGAATGTTAACTCAGAGGTGACCACAACCCTTTATGCTTAGAATAACAATAATAAAAGTCAGAATCAGAATCAGGGACAGAGGTACAAAGGCAAGAAGCCATACGTCGAATGTGACTATTGTCACTTACCTAGGCATAAGAAAGACTCTTGTTATAAACTGATTGGTTACACTGTGGATTTCCAGTTTACAAGAGGCAAAACAAGCTCAAAACTGAAGTTTTCAGCTAATCAGGTGCAGACTCAGAATTCAACTTCGGAAGTTTCTGATGTTAACAATGTTAATACGATGGTTGGACCAATCTTGACATCCGAGCAATACAATCAGATCCTTCAGTTGCTAGGAAAAGAAAACATTGCTTCTCCAACCGCTAATCTTGCAGGTATATCTACTACCTTATTATCTTGTTTGGATGATAATGGATAGATCATAGATACAAGAGCTACAGATCACATGACCTCAAATTATGCACTTTTAAATTCCCCTCTTCTCATAGAACCTTCATCCAAATCCCTTGTAGGCTTAGCAAATGGCACTAGAACCCATATTAGGCATGTTGGCTCTGTTGATCTGGATAATGGAATTCACCTTTCTAAAGTTCTTCATGTATTAGACTTTAAACACAACTTGTTTTTTGTTTCTAAATTCACTGCTTCTAACAATTATTGCTTTCTATCCTGATTTTTGTCTCATTCAGGATCTTTGCAATGGCAAGTTGAAGAGGATTGGTAGACATAGCCATGGCTTATATTTTTTTTTGATCCAAACACGAAAATTTCATCCCTATTATCAAATATAGATTTGTTAAATAAAAATGTTTGTAATGCACCTACTATTTTACCTTCAAACAATAATGTACCTTTTGATGTTCAGTTGAATAAAACTTTGATTTCTCCTGCTTCGTTTATGACTACAAATTTATCTGTTAGTTCTGAGTTGTGGCATCAACGTTTAGGACATGCTCCTTATTCAATTTTACAAATTATGCACCATAAGCTTAATGTGTCTAATCCTCCACCTTGTGCTATTTGCCCTTTAGCTAAACAAACCAGGACTTCTTTTCTTCATAGCAATTCCCAATCCAGTGTTGTTTTTGATCTATTGTATATGGATGTTTGGGGTCCATATAGGACCCTAACTCATGGTAATGCTAGGTATTTCCTCACTGTTGTAGATGATTACTCTAGAGTTACTTGGCTTTTCTTAATGCAATTCAAATCTGATTCTTTTGCCACTATCCAACATTTCCTTCAAATGGTACAAACTCAATACAATTTAACCCCTAAATGTGTTAGGACTGATGATGGCCTTGAGTTTTTTAATAAGGATTGTCATGCTTTATTC